TTTTCTTTTCTTTTTTTTTTCAGTCTGTTAAAGAGCCAGGGCCGTTAGACCTGGGATCCCCTGCAGTCTGGATGGTGCTGGCTGTGTTGTCCCGGCGCACTTTACCTGTGTCCTTCTTTCCTGCGTTCCCTGCAGGTCAGGTTGCAGCCCATACCCAGAGGTGGGGTTCTGAGTCAGTTGCTCGTTTTATAGACAAGTCAGTGGTGCTCATACGGCACAGACAGGGTGAATGCTGCTTTCTCTCTATTTCCCAGTTTTCCCAGTAAGGAATTATTTCCTCTCATCTTCTGAAGGCGACCATTTAAAAATATAAACTGAAGGATTTAAACCTTTTTGACGGGTTTCACTCAGTTGCATTTATTATCGTTTCTGATGTTCACGTTGTCGCATGCCCCCCGGCCCCTCCCCACTTGTGTCTGAACCTCCAGCTTCCGTCGTCTCCTGTCCTGCTCAGCCACGGCTCCAGTCCACACAGCACTTCTCTCTGAGGGGCTCCACCTGGGAAGGACCCAGAGAGGAGCCCTGGTGGCCAGTTTCAGAGGTTCACGGGCCTCCCCCGGCCCCTTAGTCTTACCGTGGACACTGGGGCCACCTGCTCTGAGGACAGCAGCGACTCTCCCACCCGCCCGGGGGCTCGGGGCAGGGGTCAGCCTGTGGCGGGCAGGGTCCCTGCTGTCCTCAGCTCCATCCGATGCTCCATTGCTTCCCTCTGGTTTCTTCCCAGACGCTGCTGTTCATGTAACGGCTTGGATTTTGGGGTCTGCAGGACTCCTTGTCATCTAGTTCTGCTGTAAATGTTCTCCAGTTTGAGTTTTTAAATTTAGTTGCTTTATGTAGGGACTCTGATTCAAAAACTGTGGCAGTGTTTCACCATCTTTCCAGAATCCTCTTCTGCTTTCACATTTAACATTTAGGTCTCTTGATTCATTAGATTCATTTCAGATGTATTCAGGGTATGGCACGAGGTGCAGGCACAATTTTCTTTTTCCAAAGGGCTTTCCAGTGGGCCCAGCACCGCCTCAAATCACCGTCAGAGTCAGTGATATGAGGTGCTGCCTTCACCAAACACTAAATTAACATACGTACTTGGTTCTCATTTTTGGATTTTTCTATTTCTCCTCCATCGGTTTCTCTGTTGATTTGCACTGTAGCACGTTGCTCAAAGTATAACAGCTTTTTTTCCCCTTTTTTTAATATCTGGCAAGTCTAGGTGCTCTGGAAAATCCCAACCAAGATCTCTTTGAATTTAATGCTTCTTTCCTTTTTGATTCCTTCTTGAATTCAGATTAGAAGTGTATTACATCTTCCACATTCTTTTAAGTGAGTCTAGCATCCTACTAGGTGTTGGCTTCGCAGTGATGCCATGGGATCCTTCATCCCCTACACCCGGGGTCTTTCTGAGGACTTGACCTTGTACCTGCTGAGGCTTTAAACAAATTGAGGTAGGCGAACTAAAGAAGATAAATGTTTTGTCAGCTCTCTTAAGAAAGAATTTTAAGTCATTGTCATTTTAAAATGTGTCACTGAGATAGTTTAATTGTGTAACTGATAGTAATTGAGATAGTTTCCCCGCTTGCTCCAGGGAAATTAGAAGAAAAAGGCGTTAGTTCCAGCTTGCAGTGCGCTTCCAGGGTGCACGAACAGACTCATGCAGCACACGAGAGTCAGATCAAAAATTCTATGAGTGCATATCATATTGTCCATTTTGTAGGACGTGGAGCATTATTTCATGATTTTAAACAATTGTGGGGTTTTTACAGGGTTGTTTTTTTCCCGTTTTTAGAGCAGGAAGGTAATGAGGTTTATTTATTTATTGTTACTTTTAATGGAGGTCCTGGGGACTGAACCCAGGACCTTGTGCATGGCAAGCATGTGCTCTGCACTGAGCTGTACCCTCCCCAGTGGTGGGGTTTCTGGATGGTTTTGCTCCGCTTCGTGGACCAACCAACAAGGTGGTTGGCTCTACCTGTACGCCTCTTGCTCTCCTGTCCTTGGTTAGGACTGCAGTTCATGTTATAATGTCACTGGGGGAGAGACAGTTCTCTAGATGACACAGTTTCTGGACACTTAGGTCAAATGGGACCTACTTGGGCTGGTTTCTCAAAATCTTTAATACTAGAACTTTGTTTTTGTTTTGTTTTCCCCCTCTTTTAGTTCTTAACGCTGAAAATCAGAAAGGAGACTCGATAAATTTACTTGACCAGCCTGAAAAGAGGAATCAAACACTCTGAATCAAACTGGAATCACATACTTTGTTTCTGAATTGAACAGAGATCACTACAGAATATTCATGAGGGACGGAATACTGTGAAATGCACTAAGTAAACATCTAAAGATGACTGTTGTGGAGTTTTAGTGTGTATTTACTATGTAGGAAAATGAGACCGTCTTTGAGACTGTTTTGGGGGTACTTTTGAAGCGTCTATCTTAAGATGTCAAAGTCGTCGAAATTTGTTGGCTAATAGGTGTTTCATGAGAAGATCCACACCAAAAACAGAACCCAGGCCATCCTTCAGGTGTGGCGCAGACGGTGGCGTGCCACCGTGCAGCAGGACCGCGACGTGAAGGAGGCCCGCCGCGCTGACAGCGCCTCTTCCTCAGTTTGCCCTGGAGTCACGCTCCTGGTGCTGAGCTGGGCAACGGGGACCAGCCCGTGACTTCCACTCTTTCCTGCCGGCACTGAATGGTTTTGGTTTATCCTCCTGTGCTCACTCCTAGTTCTGATAGACAGCAGCTCAGAGCGCTGACTGTGAACACAGACATCACTTTCAATGGTGTTAAAAGCGTCCAAACACAGAGGTGTTCTGTGCGAGAATCTTTAAAAAGACTGCCTGTATAATGGCCCTTGTCATTAATGTGCAGAGTGCTTGTAAGTGACCTGTAACTTGAACACCTGTGATCTGTCCTTGCTCTGCCTTGCTCTGCGGGCAGAGCTGAATCCTCTGTGCTAAGTCAAGCCAGGAGGAGCCGCGTGCCAGTCAGCCCTTTGACACGACAGGGGCCACAGCAGAGGGGACGCCGGCCCCGCGCCCAGGGCCTGTCTGTTGTGGGCGAGCGGCCTCCTGCACTCGTGGGAGAAAGGGGAGAAGGCTGATGGTGAAGGAGAGACAGCAGACAGACTGGGGGAGTTTAGAAAGGCAAGAGAAATGCAGCAGTTGTTTCTGTGTTTACACATTTAGCTTGTGCTCAAGGACTAGCACGAAACTGATTTAAAATCAAAAGTTAATGTAAATCAACTCACAAGTAAACCTAATTTACACTGATAGCAGTGACATCGGGTCTGACTTAAGTTGGTTCTTAATATTTAAGGTGACAGGCTTTGGCCAGGCTGGTGAATGACCGGCAGCCACGCCGATGACTTTCAGTGAGGCTCTCTGAAGGGTAAGAGGGTGGTGATGCTCACAGTAAAACATCTCAAGTCAGGATTTGAGATGCAGGGGCCTCAGGTCATTTGATACAACCCTCTCGTCTAACAGAGGGGACGGGGGCCCAGCCAGCCCGGGAGCTGGAGTGCCCGGCCTCACACCCAGCTGTGGACTCTCAGGGCCCCCGGCAGTCGCTGAAGGCAGGACCTGGCTTGCGTTCAGGTTAAGATCTCCACCGTGAATGCTGTATGATATTCCTTTACCCAATCAATAAGATTAAACTTCCCATCCAGAAAAGGCAACTGAAGAAGGAAGTAGCTTTATGAGGTGTGTATCCCAGTCTTTGTCCAACCTGCCTTGTGTCCTGGTCTTAGGGGTGACAGTCTCTCTTGCTTGTTGGCCTTGATTCACCTCCTGTTTAATCAGTGTGCCGAGAGTAGCTGAGAAATAAAATACTCTTTGCTAGTTCAGCTTTTAAAACTTCCAGTCTTCCCTCCCCCCCCCACTGGATCCTTAATCAGCTTTTAACTGTGGATTTAGGACGGTGGTTTGCCTTCTTAAACCTTCTGTGGAATGAGATGGGATGCCAGTATAAATAGAAATAATAATTTCATCTTCCTGTGCAGAGGCACCAGAAGGCCATTTGTTCAGGAGGTGTGTACTTTGAGCTATTTCTTCAAGCAGTCACGCTTTATTACCACAGGCTTCCCTTGGGATCACAGGTAACCTCTTCCAAGGCAACAATTTAGAGGTGTCATGGTTATTCAAAAAGCAAAACAAAAACCTGTGTGATAAGCATCAAATAGGTATCAGACCCCTGACCTTGGTCTTCTGGGTTCATCCAAAAGTAAGTCAGC